GTAAGAAGTCCGATGAATGATATGTGAAAGGTGAGGTGAAATGTTTGACATGAGAAATACCATAAAAATGCGTGAGTTGTTGACTGGACAAGTGGTGGAGGCAATAATTTTTGGCGTTTTTGGTGTGAAAAAGTTGTTTCTCCCTCATTCTCCAGTCAAAACGAGTTATTCCGTCAGTCATCCCACCCTCGGATTCTTGCAAAAGGCAAAAAGTCAGATTTTCACAATTTTTTTTATGTCCGGGAGAATTTTTTCAACCCCCAGAACTGATTTTTTCCCGCGCGGTTTAAATTAGATATGCGGATTTTCGTGGGATTAATACTCCCTTTTGTATCGCCGCTCTGGCACGCGCCTTGAAAATGGCGTCGGTGACGTCACAACGGGCATTGAGGTAAAGAGGAGGATGAGAGATGCCATGGGTTGTAGTCTGGGGATCGGCCAGTAGCTGCATCACGATTGGTCAGACTGTCGGGTGGAGGGAGTGGTCCGACACAATGCGGCCAGTGCGCCACCAGAGCTACATTGATCTCTCGAGGTGTTTTTCACCATCAGAGATAACATTTTTCGGCAATGGGAATATTCTTCAGTCAATTATAACAAGGACAACCCTCTCGTGATTTATGGAGCACCGAAAAACTCAGGGGAATCGAAAATTGCATTATTCAAGAAATTTCTACAACAATTTTATCACCAATTTGTGGTCAAACTCAATTTGTAATAATTTTAACGGAAGAAAAAAAATTGTTAACAAAAATTTTGGTTTTCTATTATAGAGAATTTTCCGGAAATACAAATATTCTTTAGAAAATTATAACAGAGACAATTTCTTTACGATTTATAGATAAAAAATTATAGTGTGAATTTTAATTGACAATTATTGACTTTTATTTCATTCCTGGTAATTCCCAGAAATGCAAGTAAAAATATTTATTTCTATCGAGGTGTAAGTAATTTTTAAGCAAAATTATAAGATTTTATTTAATTTTGAGAAAACTGCAGTAATTTTCCTGGACGTTCAGTAAAATTTCACAAACTTGGGAAATCACTCACCGGCCATTGATTCTATCATTAAATTCAAAGATGTCAGAATTTTATTATGTCAATATTTACGACCGAAAACATTAACAAATTAAAATTATTTTATTGGAGTTGAAATGCCATAACGTAGAGTAAAATAACGATTTCCCACGCAATGTTGACCCAGCGTTATGTAATTGCTCCTCCAATTTCTGTAAATCAAAACCGTTAATGGTCGATTACAAAACGTCAGGATTTTTTAATGAAAAAAAAAACGTCAGGATAAATTGAAGAAATTGAGTGGAGCTGTAGCCGTCGAAGACTAGAGAAATACGAAACCATTTGGCCGTTCTCTTCGGAAAATTCACTATTGAGACGAACGAACGCGTGTGGGGTTGAGTGACTCGTACATTTGGATACTACACGTTGAATTAAACGAGAGATTCCATTGTCCGCTTTGGTGGGGTCTCCGGGCGACTGAGGTCCGCACACGGGGAGCATTGTGATGACCCTTATCAATGGGGTCGCTGTAGACCCCTTGCTGCGCCTGGAATCCAATAAACCCCCGGGTGAGTGGAGTCGAGAGAGAAGCGTCCGGACGCCCATCGCTGTCACATTCATTGAGAATTAGGGGTTAACGTTTTATGATCCTGTCATAATCCAATCGTCATCTTCAGGAACTGAAATTACCCACCACAAGTCCACAATTTTACCCATTCCCTCAACTTTGTCCTAACGACGTGAACAAATGTACATTAAAATCCAAATTAAAATCCAAATTAATATCCAAAAAGCGGATTATCTATTGGAAATGACTGGCTGACGAAAAGCTTGGAGCTCACGCGAAAAAAAATACTACTAATTAATCAAATAAACGGGTAGGAAAATTTTCGAATGAGTTCTGTAAAATCTACTGCACCGTTTTTTCTTCGTCTAAGCGAGATTTGAATTCGCCACAAATAGGACGAATAGGAAAATTTGGTGAGCGATAAAAATGACAACTCATTCTTCAGCCGACGATTGCGTGACTATAGTATTTTTTCCTCCATTTTCTCTCCGTGCAGTTTCTTACTTCGGTCATGAGTCCATTGCCTCATAACTTAACAGCATCGAAAATTTACATGCAATTATTACTCGAGGAAAGAGACAATCAAACGCCGCAGATGCGCGCTGATGGATTGCGCACCTTCCGTTACGTTTTTCCGTTGCACGGGATATCTTGAAGGAATTGTTCTACCCCAAAACAGCAAGTAGTTCGATAATAACGACCTTGAGTTCATGTTTATCGAAATGATGATCGCCTTACCCGGGGGCAGCGAGGGGAACTGACTCCGTGACTCGACAAATAGTGGGCAATATTGTTCGGGTTAGCCAACACCCTATTTGCAACCCTCGAGGGCCCCTCGGACGTTTTGTGCCCGAATAATGCGCCACATATTTGCTCTGACATTATATGCCACCCTACAAATAATAGCCCCCCCACTGCAGCCGGAGATATACCATCCCTTCATCGATTAAAATATCTATTATCCGTGATATCACGGTGTCAGATATCCGCACGATCGAGGGGATCATGAATTTATTGTCACCGGGACATTATTTTAGGACTATTTTTCGTGGTCGAGAAGTCCATGAAGTGGAGTTTCCTCTGAGAACGGATAGCCGATGCCTGAAAAATTAATTTCATCATAATCATACCTGAACATTCGTGCAAAATTCATTATTTATATTTGGATTATGGAAAAAAATTGTTGTCTTTAAATACTCATTTTTTAATTTTACTTTTTCAAGTTGAATTTCTTTCCAACGAGACATTTCCAGATTCTCACAGAAGGAAATTATAATTTCATTATTAACATATTAATAATTCATTCATTATTATGATATTAACAAATTTTTTGAAAATGAAATGTTTGAAATCTGGATAAATTGTTGAAGAACATTATTTTCAGACTGGAAAATTATTTATTTATGCTTGAATTTGCGAAGGAAAAAAGGAAGTATTGTTTTAAAAAACGAATATATGAAGTGCAATTTGAGGAGTTGTTTTTTGACAGCTAATTTAAATATTCTTAGAGAGATCCATAATTTTTCACAGGGAAATTTATAGAAATACACTTGGAATTGAAATATACCAAATCTCTGCATTCCTCCACACGTTCAGATCCAACTCCAGTTTTCTTCTCCCACATAGTTGAAAAACAGTGGAAGTTTCTCCAAAAAGTGCAACTTGACTTCATTCTTCTCCACTGGAGATCCATAAATTTTTCATAACCGAGGAGAATGCTCCACTCGGCTGTAGTAAAGAATTCCTGAAGTTATTCCTCCGCAACTTCCATATTTGTTCACGAGAGTGGTAATTATTATAGCCGCAAAGAGATTTATGCTTGTTCTAATGACTTCCCCGGATTAGATAGACATCGCTGTGAAAACAAACCAAAGGATCAGATGCAATTAAATAAATTATCAATACCTCATCTGTACAATTGCTCTAAAAAATTTCGACAAAATCCGTGATAAAAAATTTTTCGTAAAGTTCTTATGATTTAAAAAAAATAGGATTTATCGGTAAAAATCACAATAATTTTGTGGAATTTCATGCTGAAATAGTATAAAGTTCACTCGACTTACCGCATCTTGTACCACATTATCATGCCAAATTTTCTTGATTTTTTGTTTTTTGGAAAATCGAAATTCCTCAAAAATCCGCGCAGTTTGCACAAACCGCGAATATTAAAACCAAAACCAGGTGAATCTCAATGCCTCCTCCGAAGGTCATTCTCCACGTAAGCCCATCGGTTCAGAACTAATCTCCGGGACAAATAAAAAATATCTCAAACACAAACACATAATTTTCCGATGATATCCACCACCTAAGGATCACCCTAGGCTCTCGGCAATTTTTCCATAATGGTTCTTATCAAATAATACTCGAATGTCGACCGCCTCTCGACAATTTTCCAGATCACTGGCTACTCCATCGGATAACACTCGAAGCCCCTGCCCCTGACCTGAGTGAATCGATTGATGTTGAAGAGAAAAAATAATCATTTGACTTCGAGAGCGCAGGTAGAAGCACACGCGCAGGCACGTGTGCCCCTTTGCAAACTCGTTGTTCAATAACTCGTATTATCTGTCCATCCGTTTTTAAACAGTTTCGCGGGTTGTTACACATCCGAGTGGAGATGGCAGGTTGATAACGCCGTGCACGCGGCCACGCGTGCCCTTGAAACTGTTGATGTTTTCAATGAAACGAGATATTGATAAAAATTCATTGAATAAATAAAGCTGAATTACAGTATTGCGCTCAAGATATGGAAAGACGGAGTTTTTCTATTCCATTCTATTCCATCGATTCAGCTAAATTTTCCATTTTTGTTTGCCATTTTAAACAGTAGGAAAAATTTGGAATACCTCCGATAGTGTAAAATATTTGTTATAGTGTAATTTAGTGCGAAAACTGCGTGAAATTCCGGCTTCTCCTGGAAAGTAAGAGTAATATTATAATTTTTCGGAGGAATTCCTATAATTTCCTCCGCGTGGACAGCAATTATTGATATATTTATATAAAATATGGAGGGAGTGGTGCCGATGAAAAAACATTTTCGAATCCATAAACGTGCTTTTAATCGTCGTCGATGATCAGTCGAGTTAAATTCCCGGGGCCGTATCGAGATGAAAGATAAGAAAGACTGTAACATTGGGTTTAACATGGAGATCTCAACTGGTTGATCTCATGAGGTTGTGGGACTAAACAGCCAGGAGACATCCGTCCTTGTCGTTGGTGTCGCAGCGGGTGCCATCACCGAATCGGCACCCTCGCATCACTCAAAATCCCATGCAGGACGGCATCTCCCCAATCGAAGAAGGAAGAGTTATATATCTATTTAAAAAAAAAAACGTGGGACTCTCTCGAGAAATCGAAATAATGTAAATTAATTTAGTTTATGGAGGCACTAATTGTCATTTTCTGTGGGTTTCAGGTCTAGATTCACAGGTACAGGATTCCAAGGATCTCTACTGGTTTTAGGAGGGAGACTCGAGAGGATGATTGTCAAGACTCTCATCCGGAACTGAAACGAATTTTTGTTATTACGTTTGTCGAAGGGACCTAGCGAATTGGTGATTGTGTCCCTTTGTCGAGGATGTGTACATAGTGTTACCTAATTATTTTAAGGGAAATTAGGTCTTCAGGGTGCGGTGAATATGGAACATTTAGCGGTAGATACCAATTGCACACGCCATTTCACAGAGATTAAGGGGTACATCAGGGGGGATTGTCTGTGGAATTCAAAATTATATCCACCCAAAATATCTAAAGTTTATTTTTATTTTTGGGAATTCCTTATTACATTCATCCAATTTCTTCATTGCCCTGCATTGAATTTTTTAAAACAAATCTTGTTTTGTATATTAATTCTCAGTCTGGATAAACTTTTGTTATTGAATTATATGAGAAAATATTTTAAATTGAAGAAAATAATATATTTCCGATTTCCGTAAATTTTTCTATTCAGACAACTCCTTCTCGAAGTATAATCTCTCTGCTGTGAAAATCATGGATCTCTAGTTCATCAGTAGTAGGTATCGTTGTGACAACGATTTTTTCAAAGAAAAAAATGATATATTTATTGAATAAAATTCGTGCCATAACGCCATATCCACACGAATCGCAACAAATGCTGTATTGTAATATATACGCTGTGGGAGAATATTTCCACTTGAAAATTCACGAGTAAATGATAGGTAAAGTAACAAGAAACTTTTATTTCTCCCACCTCTCAAAAATTGAAAACAGCTATCCTCTATCCCTGCGCACTGAAAAAAAAACATTTCTTTTGCCAAATATATTCACTCTCTACCAATATGCCAAATATATTTTATTGTAATTACTAAATATACCTGAGAAAACAAATTTATTTCTGAGGACAGATACGCAATATTTCCCCAGAATATTAGTCTCTTCGATTATCTCGATTAAATTCGTCAGCCTTTTACTGATGAAGTTCCGACTTCCTGAAACGCTCAATCAACTCTCTAATGATCTCGGGAAATTTCCAATTCCTGTTCTCCATTCTTCTGATTTTAACGAAAATTCTTACACGAGACTGGAACATATGTAGGACGACATCGCCGACGCATCTGGCGGATCCTTAACGATGTGAGGAACTCGATAATTAACTTTGACACCTCGCAGAAGCCGGAAATGAGCTGCATGGATTACTGGATGTGTGAAATTCTCTAATAAGTCGAGATATCGATAACAGCCTTTTGGGATTTTCGTGTGGAGATTTCTCTTTCTGAAAATTTAGTTGGGCCGCCTGCGGTGGGGAACACCGGAGATGACGAAGAGCCCGAACCCCTGGGACCTTTCCACACGGGGATCCTCTCAAGTTGTCCTGATAAATCAGAAAGTTCTTCCTCTCCTTCGTTTTCGTTTCAACGTTTCGTAATAGCGTGGGACTTCTTCAAGTACACATTAAAAAATTATTTATTTTCATCCAATAGAGTTTATGTAAATTAACAATAAATTTTCAAACCTTATTGACATTGCGTAGATATTTTCTTATTATTAACAAATATTCACAGTCAATTAAATTATTAAAGACTCAAATTAATAATTTGTTCAAATTGAATATTTCGACGTAAACGATTTATATAATGGAATTATTTTCATTGGAATAAGAGAGAAATATCTAGTTATGATTTTCATGTACTTTAGATTAAAAATTCTTTCGAACGTTCTTCAATTAAAAATTATTAGCTTACTTCAGTAAGTTACAAAATTACATAAAAAATCTGTGGTGTATTTGGGGAAAATTCAGAGGAATTAATAATGTGTGCAGCTCATCGTGAATATAAAAGCGTTGGAGTTGAAACGCTGGCGCCAGTCAAATTGATATGAATCGGCTTCAATAAACACGTAGCGCCAGATAATTGTTAATGACGCTAAAAATTCTCTCAGCTTGATGTATTACGTTAAACCGGAAAGACAATTGTCTGATAATTTAAAGTTATGTTTGATGGTATTAACTCCAAATTTATTATACCAATCAAAATGTGGGAAACGGTTCAACCCTGACAACTGGATAAATAGGAAATTATCAGAAGGTCCCTGATATATTTTAATGATTCGCGATAAATTTTGATAAGAAAAATAATCTATTTCTACATGAGATAAAATTTATATATAACTACAGCTGAATTTTCCTTAACATTATTATAATGATAACTACAAGTTCTTATAATTGTCCTGGGATATATATGTGTTATAAAACTTATATAAATCTAAACTTGGACTAAATCTAGAATTGGCGAAAGAATCGATGGTACGAAACCATAATTTAACATTTTCTTTTTGTCCAGAATTTTATTATCTTTAAAAAAAAAATTGCGAAAAAAATAGAAATGAGTTAAAAACGCTTTCCCACTCGCATTATCCCCCGTGTCCCATTTTTTTCGGACCTCCCCTACATATATTTCACTGATATTTTTTCAAAATTTTTCCATGAAGGATACAATGCGAAATTGGCGAACGTTAGAATAAACGTCTGCACTCGATGTAGACTCTCGGTGTATCACGATTATTCGAAAAATTCAATAAAACAGTAGCCGAATCCAATAAATCTTGAGATAAATAATGGTGCCCTGGCAGACCAGAGGTGTGCGGTTCACGATCTCTAGATAAGGTCTGAACAAAAGTCATGAGGACAAGATTGAGAAAGGTAAAAGGACGAGAAGAGGCAAGACGTCCAAGATTTACTGGGCGCCCTCGACGCTTTTGCGTCTCCCCCCCAATTCCCCTCTGTAATTACCGAAATCCACTCGGTTTCTTTATTTTGCCTCTCCATAGCCCCTGCGCGGTCCCCTCATATTTTTTTCCTCATTTACTTTTAATTTATTGACCAGATTTGGAGATAAATCAGCGAAAATTGTTTATTCTGTCCCGTCCAGGGGAAATATTCAATTGTAATTGAAAATATTTAAGGATTGCAAGTTATTTCTATATTTTCTTGGATTTTCAAATTACCAGAATGCAAATGGGTCGATGATCTCGGTCTCTCTTCGGTCGTTGTCTACTATAAATCAGTCGGGTCCGCCTCCTCTCGTCGTTCTCACTCGAGTGTATCACTTGCGGATTATGAAATATGTACACATGTCGAGACGTGGAAAAACTTGGGAGACACGTGAGGACCACGTGGAGAGACTTCCTGGGGTATCATATATGGATTTAAAAATTGGAAAATTACAACAGCGCGAAATATACAATATAAATTACGAAAACTTTAATTCACTTATCGATTACGAAAGGATTTATTGTAATGACTTCATCAATTGTCCAGAAAACACTTAAACAGAGAAAAAAAATGTTAACTTCCTTGGAAAAATGCCTTACGGTTGTTGTTGCCAATTTGTCTTAGGTTTGAAAAATTAATTTATTATATTATAAATAATTTAATAAAATAATTTATTGTAATTATAATAATTATAATAATTTTTTCATTTAGCTGGCAACTTACTATGGGATTGACGTAAAAAAAATCAAAGTTTCTGTCTTTTGTCATTATTTAATGACTCACAAGGTTTTAACATAGTGTAAAAATCTTTCTGCGTTTTTTCTAAACTTTAAAACAAAACTTCGTGAGCAAAATAATGACAAAACCGAAAAGTTTTATATTTTTTCCGACCAATTCCCTCGATAATTTACCAAAAATGTTAAAAAACGTGAATTTCGACTGTACATGGTTGTGGAACATCCTAAATCCAATAATGAATGAAAAAAACACTTCATGCTCAATAACGCAAAATGAGATTTGCGCCAGGAAATTCGCAGGTGGGTACCGTGCACTTGTTCCCTCGATGTTTAGTAATTAAATACCATTGGGGTGTGGGAGACCCTCCAAATGCAATAGAACTGCAACGGAGGAGAAAATTCGGAGGGGGAAATAATCGAGCGTGAATATGAATATCAATTCTACTTGAATAGATGACTCCCCCTCACAATTGATAAAACAAACTCTCAAAATAAAAAATAGCACACATAATTGAGAACAAGTACTAGAACTATATACGGAAATAATAACTCGGTTAAGGAAAATATAATTAAATTTTTCGAAAATGATGTTCTTTTTTCAACGGATGAGGGAATTAATTGATGAATGATTTAATGGTCGAGGAAGATTAAATAGAATGTTGGGTTGTTCTACACAGCCCCCGCAATTACCTGCAGAGACCGAGAAGAGATCTTATCGAGTTTCTCTATCGAATTGCTCCTCACTCTCTGGTTTTCTTGATTTCTCGAACGAGTGCGAGAGGGAATTATTGGTTGGGGCTTGCCACGCTGTGTCGGCGGTGTGTCGGCGTTGTGTCGGCGTTGTGTCGGCGTATGACATAGTGACGCCGGGTAGTCCAACGACAAAGGACGAAAAAACGTCTAGGAATGCCGCCTCAGCATATTTCGGCAGTGTCACCTACACACAGCTAAGTTTTATCTACTTCAAAAGGTACCCCCCTGTTCATGCCAAACCGCTTTCAATGTTACACTGATAGAACGGTTTACTTGCACCAGACTTCTTGATAGTTAAGGAATGGTTAAACGGTGATAACACTTTGAAAAGCAACACACATTTATAAGTATGTGGTACATAGACAGAAATGTTTCATGGAATTCATCCTGATTTTTTTTGTAATCGTGTAATGGAGTGGCGATTTAGGGACTTTTGACATGAAGTAGAATACAAATTTCCGAATGGACATGATTACTAAACTTCAGGGTAAATCTTATTGAATTTTTATATCTGTAAAAAATATGAAAATGAATGAAGATGATATGCTTAGATAAACCTTGATTATATACAATTATCATAATTTAATCAAGCTTGGTGATACAATGCGCATACAAGCTAAGAAAATTCGATCATGTTCCGAGCGTAAAATTCCAAGCTCGAGCTTAAGATAGGCGAAGATATAGGCCAGGAAAAAAACACCCATCCATCCAAAACATGTTAAGACCCACCCAGCTTAATAGACTATAAGGAAATAAATATTAGTCTATTTTTTAAATGATAAAAGGGATTTCGATTGAATTGTATCGATCATAAACGAGTGAATTTGTTTATCCATTATTTAAATAATATTAGAGAAATTCAAGGGTTGGTTAACGCTTGGATTCCACGCTTGAGCTCAGCTAGATTAGTCTTGGTTCAAGCTAATTGATTGCACCAATGATCAATTAACCCTCAATTAACCGCTTAAAGAGCGAATAAATTTAGATTGGGAAAAGTTTGTAAAAAAAGGCGCCCTGAAATTTCTTAAAATCGGTAATGACTGAGAAGAATAAAAAATGGATTATTTTGAAACGAACCACCTGCATTTTCCACCCTCACCCCTTTTTGGTGCAGTATCAGAGAAAAAAAGGAGGGGTTGATGGAGGCGACTGGGGAGCACGTGCAGCGATTCGTCTATTTATCACTCAGCCATTCATTCTCTCATTCAAACCCATCACGTACGACGCATCAGTCGGAATCACATTAATATTATTCATGCCGTGTGGAGCCTAATGAGTTGAATGCATCGGTGGAGTGGAGCTGTCGATGCCTGAAGGCGCCTGGGCCACGTTGAAGTGAAATAAGACGGATTATACCGGCGGGAGACGACACGAACTAGAGCGAGGGAGAATGAGATATGAAAAAAATGGTATGATATAAGAATGAAGAAATAGACGAGGAGGAGGCGAGTGGTTTCCGTTGAACGCTGGAGTCGTTCCGACG